ATGCTAAATGATAATTAATAAATAATTTCTTAATTTAATTATAGAGGATCAAGCTTCAAGAGGTCATGACAGTCATGTTGAACCTAATTATGATGGATCAAGAGGCTGCGGTGGTCATGGTAAATCAAGAGGCTGTAGTGGTTGTGGTGAATCAAGAGTTCATGGTGGTCATAGAGGTTGTGATTGTTATGGTGAATCAAGAGGTCATGGTGGTCATGGCTGTGGTAGTCATGATGGATCAGGAGGTGATAGATCAGAAGAACATCAATCCAACATTTTCCGGCTTTGATTAACTCATGTTGAAGTGACTTTTTTACCTCCTAACACCACAAGTCATCTTCAACCACTTGATACAGGAATCATTGTGAGCTTCAAAAAGCACTTCAAAAGAAAATATTGCCGTCATATGCTGGATTTATTTGAAGATGGAAAAGATATAAATAGTGAAAAAGTAAATATAAAGGAAGCAATTAATTATGTTGCGGAATCATGGGGTCATATAACTGAAGAAATAGTATAGAACTGTTGGAGAAAAACTGGAATTTTGTCTTCTACATCTGATGAAGACATAGACGATACATCACAAATCCAACAAGAAGCAATAGATGATGAAACATTTGATATCAATAAAATGATTGAAGAACTTGTTATGGATGATCCTTCTGCTTCCTCACTGGCAAATGCACTAACTGATTTTTTTCAAGACTTAAAAGAAATCCAAACTGAAGATACTTTAGACGAAAATGATATAATAAGACTGATTCAAAGGGAGGAAACACATCATGAAAATAGCGATTCTGAAGAAGAAGAAATTCTAATACCTTCCGGTGATACTCTTAAATCTTTAAAGACTTGAATTTCATTTTTTGAGCAGCAGCATATTGATGAATTTTATGTAGAAGATTTAACTCTTTTTAAAAGTTACTTTAAGATTGTTAAACGGTTTGAACAACAATCTTGAAAGCAGTCATCAATTATGGATTTTTTTTAATATTTCATTAGTTTGATTAGTTTTTAGTAGCATTTACATAGTATTTTGAATAAAATTTACTAAATAATAAATAATTTGCATTT